ATTATTTTAGAAATTCCACTTTATTAACTTTTATTGCTTGTTTCAAAATTATTTCTCTACTTCACAGTATTATATAATTTAGCTATTTGATAAATAATTATTATATATTAAGTGCACTTTATTTAACTACAAAATAATAATCCAAAATCTAATGAATTTGAAACAAAAACCACTCGCCTATTTGTATAAATCATACTACTACTACAACAACAACTACTACTACTACTATAACTGTGCACTATGCATGTGACTACTAAACTCCCTGCGAATAGTGTATCAGTTTTTGGAGAGTTTTTTGTATATTTTGTGAATGTAAATATCTATGAAAAGTGTTACCAGAACAATGGAGAAAAAGAGATGATAGTAACGCCCTGATTTTCGGAAATGTCTATCTGTATTAGTTGTGCATACGAATCGAATGACAGATAGATTACAAGTATATGCATATCTATATATATATATGTTGAATCAGTACCAAAATGTTAGAAAACAGGATCAGATGACCCACTGGATACGATAAATTAAATAGAAACAAAAAGGTGTAAAAACAAGGTTGTTTGATATACAAGCCAATCATGCCATTGACAACTGAGTAAGATGGCGGACGGCCTTGATTTAGCCACACTACCTTGTAACTATGTCTGAAGTTGCAGACTACTATTAAAAAGGGCGACTGGCCCTATTCAGGTAGGTAGTCACTTGGGTGGGGTTCTAGTGGGTGACCAGTAGGGTGCAGCCGGTTGAAGGTGAGGCAGTAACTCATAGAATAAGATATTGCGACGTTAGAATTCATGGGCTGGCCATTGGATCGGCTCGGATTCCGCTGGCAACTAAATGATCTACGAGCTTGCTGGCCTTGTAACCAAAAGGTCCTGGGTTTGAACCATGTATGTGGGTTCGTACTACTAAAGGGTTCGAGACCAGGACGAAGTTGATATCCAGTACTCCTTGCAGGCTTTCCAATGGTTCTTTAACCGATGTCAGCTCATGATGAAACCCTCCAACCAATCAAGTAAAATCCCTACAAAACCAATACTTGATGGAAAACGGTTTCCCGCCCAGGTTCATAGACAAGAATCTCAAACCTAAGAAAACTCCTGAACAAGTTCAATCCGTCCCAAAGAAAATACTTCTGCTTAATCTAGAATTCAAAGGTGATATCGAAGCAGAAATCCTTCGCAAACGCCTCTCCAAATTGCTAAGGAAAACATACTTCGCCGCAAGCCTACGACTGACGTTTTCCTGCAAGAAACTATTCAACCAGAACGCGAAAGACAAGCTGGCGCATTGGGCCACCTCAACGTGCATATACCAGTTTACTTGCTCTTGTGGAGCTGAGTACATCGGCCGTACCATGCGCCGACTCGGAAAACGCGCTCGCGAACACTACCCAGCCTGGCTCGTAAAAGGAGACAAAAAACGTGTATACAGTTCAGTGACAGAACATCTGGTCAACTCAGGACATTCAGCGCCTTTTGAAAAGTCCTTCAAAGTAATATACAAGATTCAGTCAAACCTATCAAAGGGAGTGAAATCAGGACATTTGGGCATAGCTGAGGCGTTAGCTACCCAAAAACTCAAACCCACGCTCCGTATCCAAAAGAATTAAGTCCAACCCCTGTCCCTGCCGTGGCCATCATAAACAGGTAAATTTTTTAGTAATGACCATCCCATCGCCTTTCTTATCTAAACGTCCTGTTTATTTATGTTATCTTAAGTTTTTCTTAATCCCTGTCTACACTACCATATTTTTATATCCACACTTCCTGTTTATTTTGTCATTTTACTATTTCTACATATTTAATCCCTGATTGCATAAACAATTATTCATCACATTAGTTTTTTATCCAAACATCCTGTCTATTTTGTTATTTCTACATTTCTAACCCCTTATTGCACAATGTCAATCTTCTTAGTTATTATGCTACTTTGTTTGAGTTTTACCCATCCCCCTGTTTATTATGGCATTCTAATTCCTAATTGTAATTTTTATTAATTTGACCCTTAACCGAAAATTATTCTGGAACTTTCCCATCCATTTGATATAAATACACGAATGTACAGCTTAGATGATGACTTCGTCGAAAAGAAAATTTTCTTCGCTGCAATTATCTTTTTATTCCCTATGATCAAATGTGTATATTCCGTGATTATGCATAATTCTTATATAAGTGAAGTAAACATCTAGGTCATGGCAGTATTTGAACCATTAACCTTCAATTCTATGATCCGGTACTCTGTCATTCGCTTAACTACATAACTTGATCATCTGAAAACAATCATCACGAGTAGCTGTCTAGCTCTGTCTGGTTACTGAATGACACGCAATTAACTATTCACTGTTATAGAAAAGCGAATACGTCATATTTTAATTCATCATTATTTTCAAGTATTAGTTTTACAGGGATTTTGTTTGACTGGTTCGAGGATTTCATCATAAGCTAACATCAGTTAAAGAACCAGGGAGTACTGAATAGCTGTTTCGCCAGCCTAGTTTGGGACTCTGCAGCAGTACACACCCGTTCCACAGAGGGTTTGAACCCAGGACCTTCTGGTTACAACGCTAGAGAGAGAGCTCTTAGACTATTCAGCAGCCACTGAGATCAAAATTCCGCCAATTCATGACAACGGCGTGACCAATTCGCAATATCTACTTCGATGACCTACTCACTACCTCATGATGAAACCCTCGAACCAATTATTCATCATTAAACTATAGTGTGTGTTCATATTCATTACATAACATTTTATAGCGTACAGTAAGTATAGACTACTGCCAACCTCAAATGTGAGGAAACTGAGTTTGAACACATAAATAAATGCATTTTATCATCAATAAAGCAATTAAATAAACAAAAATAATTAAACTGGTAGCGAGTGAAATCCAGGTGGGTTTTGTGGTTTAACTGGTTGCATGAGTAAGTATAAAATTCAAAGGCGGCTAGTTCAAACACTGTCGCTACCTTCAAATACGCATTCATTTAGTAAAATTGCAATCTGTTAACCTAATCCTATCAAAGATAATCTCAACATAAAGTTATGTGTTAATAAATTACATGTCTGAAGACATCAAATTCACCACGAGAGAAGAAGAATTAGATAACAAAATCCAATTTTTAGATGTCTTAATCAGAAGAACCGACACAGGAGACTTAGAAACAAAAGTATATAGAAAATCAACGCACACAGATCAAATACTCAACTATACTAGCAATAATCCAATTACTCACTCACAAAAGAAACTGTGTGCAGACATTGTTTAAAAGAGTTCAAACACATTGTAGCACTCCAGAGTTGAAAAGAATGGAAAAAAGGAACCTACAAACGGTCTTCAAAAGGAATGGATATCCACAAAATTTTATCAAAAAATGTTTAAAGTCGAATCAAAACACCAACAAAGAACCATCATCAAAGACCACAAGAAAATTCATTCTACCATACATGAGAAATATCTCCGAAATAACATCAAGAATACTGAAACCGTTTGATATAGATATAGCACACAAGCCAGTCAAATCGCTTAATTCGATATTATGCAAACCGATTGATCCAACAGAAAAAGGGGATAAAATCAACACCATTTACAAAATAAATTGTATGAACTGTAACAAGCATCACATCGGTCAAAGTGGGCTTCCCCTTCGAATCAGAATCCAAGAACACAAATCAGCCGTGAAAAGACATGATATGTATTCTTTAGTATCAATGCATATAGACAATTATGGTCATCAATTTGATTGGGATAATGTCAAAATCTTAGACAGAGGAAATACCAAAATTGCAGTCATAGAATTCCTAGAAGCCTGGTACTCAAACGAAAATGCAATTAACAAACACGTAAAATCTAGACGAAATATACCAACTAATAAAAAGTAAATCAGGTGACGAGAAAGTTTAAAATCTTAGTCAATAGAAAATGGAGACGCAATTCTATCACTCATGAAGAAATTTAAATCATTTCACTTTATGCTAAATATTGCGCTGAAGGGGGGATGTTGTCCAGAAGAGAGATGACGAAAGCTCCACAACTAAACCAACCAGCTCAGAGAACACTATTAATTGCAAAGTTAAGTGCTGTTAAATTTAGTTTTTAGAATTTGTTCTTTAACACAAAGGTGAATATTAACGATTCAGATTGACAAACTTATTATGCGTACATATTTTAACAGACATACTGTAACTCACCTTTTTTTACTGAAAAAATGTTATCACTATCTCTGTCTACTTACCAGGATGAACTGGAATAAAACTGTAAATCAATAAGGCAAAAGGATTAAAAATGCCAGTGGCGACAGGACGATTCACAAGCTAACTGATATCCCACACAAACACAGAAAGAGGGAGATAAGGAGAGATAGTCAGAGATGGGAAACGAAACGACAAAGTGAAAAAAAACAACAACCTCTTGTTGACTTCTTGTTGTTTGGTACTATTTCCATACAACATCATGTTCAAGATTTTATTTTTCTTCAAATATATATTAGAAATTATTACAGGCATAAATGATGAAAGAACATTAGTGAGTATTGTTAACCATAGTAATAATAATAGTAGTAATAATAGTAATAGTAATAGTAATAACTGATATGTATCGTGGCGATTGTCTAACGACAAAGAAATACTGACAATGAGAATGAACTCAAAAAGGAGAGTGTAATGAAGAGTTCGTAGGATTATTTGTAGGATAATCCAAAGGAGATGAGCATTGACTAGTTGAATAGTGTCATAATGGAAGAAAAGGCAGAAGAAGAAGAGGAATACGAAGAGGACGTGGAAAGAGAATGATGCGATATTGTTCAATAATAATATGTTGTCATAATATACATAAATATAATATAAGGAATTGAAAAATATGACTAGGGAAAAGTGTTGTTGTTGGTGGTGTTGGTGTATAACCTGTTGTTTCATTATTGTCAACATAATATACACATTACAGGTAATAGAATAATGTTGTCTACCGTATATACCATCGACTGCATCAGCCCTGTTGTCTACAGCATTCATGTACACGATGAATAGCATATTTTTGAACAACCAGGTCGACATAGCAGGTGACACATTAAACCACACTTGGAATCTCCGTTTGTATACTCCTTTCTCAAGATTAATCGTGATTCCGTTGATTTTGAATGACGTTTACGCTTTAAAAAGGTTGAAAAGGGATTACGATAGGCGGCTGGTCGATTCTCGGATAAACGTTTTGACCGGTGATTTACTTCGCTTCCACCGCCGGATGCTACTGCTACTGCGTCTTCGTCTTCACTTTGTGTTGACAATTCTTTGTCTTTTGGTGTTTTTGGATTCGAGTCAATATCTTGTGGTGGGACAATGATCGGGATTTCTTCTCTCTGACGATATTGTCTGTAGGAGAGTGTTGTCTGTTGGGTAAAATGTGTAAGCCATAAGAGAATCGCGAAAACAATTATTATTAGTTGCATTATATATTAATGATATTTATTTTAATCAACTATATATTTTGATTGTTAATCG